GAAAGTACCACGTGCATTGGTTACCTGTTGCCCTCAAAAGTAACCTGAACAATACGATGATCTTCTGCCAAACAAATACCGTCACACGGCTCAAGAATTTGAACCAAAACGCCGATGAAATATTAGGGAGTGTGACTTCCGCCTTAAGAAATCGCCTACGTCTGTTGCGCCAAACTAAAACCAGCACCGAGGCCCTCTATTCTAGTCCCAGAGAATAATTGGTAAAAAATAAACCTTTGGTTTTTTTATCATTAGTTGTAAACGAAAAAGTGCGTATCAAGTGTGGTAAAACACTTTTATGAGTTGACTAAGCTTACTGGCTCGCGCTTACCTCTGATGTCTCGTTTGTTCCGACTTGCTTTGCAGTAGAGTGACCTTGATCCATAGTTTGATAAGTTTTCTCCGAACGTAAGAGATCGGTAATGTTCGAAGCAAGCAAGGAGCGCCACAATCTTTAACAATACGGTTCGAAAGGAATATTTTGATGAAAGCGTTTGGGCCATAATTCTCCTTCTCCTAAAAGAAACCGGAAGAGGCCTGGTTGTACGAAAGACAATGCGATCAGCGGTTTCAGCGGTTAATTTGAAAACAAGCAAAATGGCGGAAGGACTTCCTCTGGTAAATCGAAAGGAAAACGAAAGTACGGATAACAGGAAAGCTCCATTCTATGATCATCCAGTGTTTAGGGAAATATCACTATCCAATGGAAAAATAAATAAAATGAAGAAGGATGAAGTCAAGAAAATACTTAAAGAGCGTGGGCTGGACACACGGTGAGTGAAATATCATCAGCTAAAAGTAAACAAACTCAGTTTAATTAAGGTGATGTTCCAAGCCTGGCCTGGGGATAAGGGGGGATTTTGGAAGGGTTAGAAAGGTATTAAAACTTCGTTAAAGCTCTGCCTCGGCAAACTGCTCAAAATTCAGAGACCATCAATATCTCATCAGAGGGAGATGATTAACTTTTCCACTTACTGCATTGTAACACCTCCTTGATTTTCAGGATCCTTTAACTCCCAAATCAAATTTGTAATTCTCCTTACTGTTAACCATACAATTCTTACAATGTTAGTTCAGAGAGTTTAGTATTGGATCCACTAATTATCCCCAAAGTGCTATCATCACATGTGGTTGATATTGTATTGATATTGTAAGGAGAAATTCTGTCTTGGTCACTCATGAGAGTTAAAGGGTTAAAGTAACATATATAATAATTGAAAAGTAATGTTTGCAATTTGTCAAGGTAATAACATGATTTTGAGTGCAATTTGGTGATGATAAGCAAAGTAAATTTTTCAAAGACAAAAAAAAGTTGAACAAGCCCACAGGTCAAGAGCACTTTATACACTTTGAAAAACTTACAAATGCTTATTATACCAAATTGCAAGAGAAATTGTGTTATTACTTGTGTTAATAATTTACATGAAAAAACATCGCAGAAAAGCAAGACAGAGAAAATTTTGAAAGTGTGTGCATTATTTGTAATTTGCACTTGTGTTACATGAAAATGCACTCATTTTTGCTGGTCAAAATGATTTTAAAGTACAATAGTTTGGTTTGTTTTTGCCTTCATATTCATCTTGGAACATAGAAAATACAAATCCAACAATTTGATATTATTTCAACCTTAGTTCCTCACAAGTAAACTATGTCCAGGGATGCCTGTCTTATTCTGGCTGGAGTTTTTCTGTCTTTGGCCTCTGGGCAACATAAAGTGAAGGATGAAAACCCTACACTGGCTCTTAATGTTGATGATTTTACACTGAGATTGCCAGATTTCACAAGAAAAAGCATGTAAAATAAAATGCTGCAAAACTATACCACTTTTGTTAAAAAAAACTGGCTTCAGGGAAGTAGGATAGGGTTGATTTTTAGCCTTAGTTTTGAATTTGTTGTTGTGACAGTCCTTTTGGTTAGCAAGGTAATGCCTTCTTAGATCAAATAGATTTCAGTGATTTCTGTAATTAGAAGAGGGTACTATAACTCTAATAAGTAGTAAAAGTTGAAAGTATTACAGGGTGTTCACAGCAACCAGATATTTGCAGCAGGTAGATAAACCTAACTGAGATGGGCTGAAACAGAACACCATATTTCTCAAGGAAGAGGAGGCCTTTAACTTTCACAATGTAACCCAACAGCCCTCATAGATTACCTACATGTGCTTAGCCCTGTAGTATCTAATTTTCAGCAAAATTATGTCCTCAAAAACAGTAACTAGGCAGGTACAAGGGTTTGACCTCTAAACAGCTCACAGAGCTGGACTGTCAGATTATTCTTGGGAACACATACCATCTTGGAATGAGACCGGGCACAGAGATATTAGAAAAAGCTGGGGGACTACATGGATTTATGAATTGAAAGAGAGCCTTATTAATGGACAGTGGATTTCAGATGGTACCTTTATTGAAATTAGCTGACAGTTACAGCACATGAATATCATATAATTTATACAGCTCAGGCCTCCGTGCAGTGGCCATCAGTCTGTTATCTATTGCAAAATTTTACACAGTTCTTTAGAGTAATTACCCTGAAGGGTAGAGAGTATAAAACCAATTGGCCTTGGCACTTAGTTTTAGAGGTATTTGAATCAAAGAAGATGTGGGCAGCCATCTGAAATTTTGAACATTCAAGTCATGCAATCCTTCTGATGTTAACTCACCCGAATTCTTTTTTTTCTTTTCTTCTTTTTTTGGGCTTATGATTGATTAGTCTTAATGGTTAATGGTTTTAAAACCCTCAATACTGATATCTGAAATAGCACTTTAACATGCTATGTTAGCTATTGTTTGTATTCAGGACTGATCATACACCAATATTTCCAGGTGTCTGAATTTCATGAGTACTGCAAACCACAAGATAAGTCAGAACTATCACAGTTCTGCCAGAACCTAACTGGAGTTACCCAGGTAATTAAAGTCAAAATATCAACAACATTACTGTGCATGGCTTTTGCCCATTAGTTATGACTGGAATCTCTGTCACTGGGGTCTTTGTAAACAGTCATGTGCTTTTTTCTGTGTTCATATTATAAGCTGAATTCTTTGTGCATTTTTATTAGTTCTTACTCGTGATCTATTGGAGGACAAGGCCATAGATGATGTCACCATTGACAAGTTTTTGCTTCTTTATTACGTAAAAAACAAATAGATTCCATGTTGCCCAGGTTCTGTGTGATAAGTGGTATGAACATCAGTGACACACATGGCTGCACCTTGTGAGCCACTTTTTGGTTCATACCACATTTTCACATCATTTATGATCTACTTGTAATACTAAACAGAGGCATGGCAACATGGAATCAACTTTTTAAATGGTTCATGATGTATTCTGAGTCTAATATGAGTTTATAATTTGCAAATTATTCTCTATACCACTTAAAACTGTTTTCCAAAGCATGTGATATTGACAAGTTTGTTTTAAGATTTGATCAAATATTACATTGAGAATTGTCTTAGGAAAAAAAATCTTGTATGTATTGTCGAGAGTCCATTGCATTGATCAGTATTTTACATCTCCTTGCTGATGGCATGGATTATCTTCAATGTACACCTAAATAATTTTTTCCAATGTTTTGTTTTGCTGGGTAGGAAATTGTGGATAATGCTGATACATTCCAAAGAGTCCTTGACAACTTTCATTAATGGCTTGAAATACATAAACCTGGATCGGCATATAAATTTGCTGTTGTTACTGATGGGTGAGTTTGCTTCTCATTCACATTTCTTGCACTTCCTTTACTGAGTTTCCAACAATTAAATCATCATCCCAGTGACAGGTACTCATATATACTATAGGGCAGAGAGAGACACCGTGAAGATGTCTCGCCCAGGCAGATCTAGACTTGTAAATTTGCAGGGCTTGCAGATGTTGGGCTTATCAGTGAGGGGATGAGTAGATGAACGCTAACATGTGTGTCATTAACATTATACTACAAGTCTAATGAATACCAAGCACAGTATGACATGCACTTCTTTGGTTGCAAAACCTACCATGTTTGAAACAAAAACGACAAATGCTTTCAATATAAGAACATTGTGTACTGTAACGATGCACCGCTCGGACGACCAACGACCCCACAGTTTCAAGGGAAGGGCGGGCTAAAGAGATGGTCCTAAAGAGAGAGGGCCTATTCGAGATGGGGGCTTAGAGGAGGGAGGGACTTCTGGGAGAGGGGCGTTTCCAAAGCTTCCATGGTAATTCCTTTAAATTTTTTTCCAATGTAGCCCTTATGATATGAAGCGTTTCTTCTCAGGTCAGTGCGATCTCTGCTCCATTACCGTACCCAAGTATGCCGCAGAGTGGATTGATCTGAGAAAATTGCACAGAAACTTTTAACAAAGAGCGAAATGGGACTCTTGAAGACGTGTTCAATAGGGCGGCTGCACTGTGGGATGGACGATGCGCGAAACATCGCAAGAATCTTACAAAGATGGTCCAAGATGGCTGCGAAATAATATTTAAAGAGAGACTGTATGGTGACACCTGACTGTTGTCAAAGTCTGAACACTGCGATCAGTTGAAATAGCCGTGAAAAAGAAGTCCATATCCTATCATAGAAAGTGGTGTTTTTAAAACTTATAAACGAATTGAAAAGAACCTCGTAAATACGGTTTTCTGAACAGAGTGAATGATGCCCGCTTCCTTACTGGCTTAAAGAAGCTTGTCATTATTTTAGGAAGGGTGGAGTTCGTGTTATTTTGCTTTTATACATATATATATATATATATATATATATATATATATATATATATATATATATATATATAGAGAGAGAGATATATATTATATATATATGTATATATATATATATATATATATATATATATATATATAGATATATGATATATCGTCACCGCACGCTGTAAAAATATTATCCATAATATATCTTTCACATGCAAATATGAAAAAATTCGCCAAGTTATACAATTGATTGCATTTGCGCCCTTAAAGAGAGGCTATTTACTTTAGAAGCATTTATTCTTGTAAAATGGACTTTTCCTTATGACAAACGGTAAATGTTTTTGTAGGGAGAACTTGCCTTAAAGTTGTACCAGTAATTAAAAAAGCATTTTCTGCGGTGAGAACGAGATGTAATACTCCCACTGTTTTTATTTTTCTGAGCTATCTTCTATTTGTTGGTTTCATTAAAAGCTTTCCAACAAACAGAACATCAAATTATTTTTGTGTGTTGATGGCGTCTCTCTTTTGTTCGTTTTCCTTATTGGTTGATAATTTCTTAAAACCCTCCAAGGGAAAATTCGTATCCGCGCACGCGGCCATGTATTGTCCTTCATGCTAAATTGTTTCTTAACATTTAAAAGAAAATTTCACAGATAGCGTTACTTTCGAAAGGAACAGTTACCAAGTATCTGAATAAGACTTGAGTTCACGCATAGTCTAATGCAATTACTCCTCAAAAGTTCCGTATTGTTCTCCAGCGCCGTCCCCTAGGACTGGTGCGTGTTCTTCGTGTCCTCTTGCTTCATGAACCATTTCATCTGCATTTCCCGCCTTTTTCAATAACAAAATTATCGAAACAACCATTCCGCAAAGTAGAACCACGTTCACCGACACAATCATCCAAATGATGGGTAAGGATGAGTCAGGGTTCAGAGCTGCGTACCTTACGTTCATGAAAGAGAAATGAAGAGTCAAAAGAACCAAGGTCTCTGCTGTGTTTTCCAATGGGAACTTTTGGTAAGAGTCGTTTAACGGCCTGAAGGACAACTGCAAGCACAAAGCAACCAGCAAAACAAAGCAAACAGCTATCGTCTGAAAGGACGATGCACGATTGATGAGAGACAACGCGAAAGCGATCAGCATCCGCCTCAGAAGAAAGATGATCTCAAAATAAGAACGAAATTCTTCCTTGTATGGCAAGTAGATAGAACCGAGCCAGCTGTCCAAAGATTCTTGGTCTTGCTGGGGCATTTCATGTCTTCTGGCCACCTTATTGAAGTGCAGGAGAGGAAGGAACAATCCAAAAGGCACACCGATCACATAAAGAGGCAGGGCAAGCCAGCCTAACACCTGTAAGATGGTGTAGTCATAACCTTCACATTCCATCCATGGGGCCTCCCTCAAGTAACGCTGGCCATTATCCTCACCACAATGCGCAAGGGTAGACGCTGTCTTTTTCACAATGGGAAAGTACGTAAAGTTAAGAGTCATGACCGAGAGTTGTAAACAGGTATTCCGAAGTCGAAGTCGTCTTTCTTCTAAATTGGAATATTTAAAAATTTTAAAGACGAGGTAACCAAGGGTGAAGTAGAACCAGACAAGCAAGATGCAGATAAGAGGAAGAATTAAAAGAGATGCGAGCTCGCCGAGTGGTGTAAACAACCTCGGAAACTCACAAGCCAGGCCAGAGAAACGAAAGTTGAAAACATTTCCAATGTATCTCTGCGTCTCCAAAACCTCAACCGGCCAAACGTCCGTGTTGGACAATAAGGCATCAAAAGTTTGGAAATAAAATACGCTTGTCTTCATGATTCCTCTTGCTCCCTTTCCTCTTCCAGCTAAACCGATGAAAAGAGCAATAACGTTGAGTTCGAGGAGCCAGGCTGGAATGATTTGAAGCATCGCCAAAACGGTTAAAATGATGATTTGAGAACAGACAAAAGTAACAGATAGAAATCTCTTCTTCTCGTAAAAGAAAAACCCAAGGGTAATGAGCATGATGGAAAGAATCAGAAGTACGGCTATAATGTACACACTGGCTTTACTTTTACGACAGGCGTAGCAAAGTATTCCCTGTTTGTAATAACCATGTTCACAAAGGGAGCAAAACCTATCTCGACTACCTTTCTGACAAAGGCACGACTTGTTACAAGTAATGAATGGTCTGTCAATTGCTCCATTTGTCTCCCTAAGCCAATCAGGATCAATACCACACTCACAAGAGCCAGTTGGATTACATGCTGTTTTTACGAGGACACTGGTGCCCAAAGCTTGCGAACATCTTACTAGGTGAGTCACGTTTCCATGAAGTGATGAAGGCCAATATCCCTTTTTAATGATCATCGACTGCGTAGGAAGCATTTGATCGTGACACACTCCCCCTTCCATACAAGGTAAACAGGTTCTTCCTGAGCCATAGTATCCAATATTACAAAGGCACAGACGGTAAAAATAGTAATTTGGGTCTAACACGACAAGTCCTTTGTTGTAACTGAGTCGAGCATTGGGACAACTGAAATTATCATCTGAATTTCTCTGCGTAAAAGTTTTAAAATCAACCGTCACGAAGTTGGGTAGAGCTCCTTTTTCCTCGTTGGACTCGTGCATATTGGGATTCACTGAGATGTCGAAGACTTCCAGTGCTAAGAGTTTTGCAAATTCTTGAGGAATTTTTCCTGAAAGGTTGTTCGCAGATACGTCAAGATTAAGAAGAAATAACATATTATATGGGGGAGATGGAAGCTGTCCAAACAAGCTATTTCTACTTAAATCTACAGAAATCAAATTTTGGAAGTCCCACAGTTTCGCGGAGATTTTTCCAAGAAAATTGCAGTCACTGATGTTAAGAATACGCAACGATTGATTTATGGGTTCCATTGCTTCTAATAGGGCATTAAACGTCATTGTGAGCTGTTCATTACCAGCCAAATTAAGTACTTCTAAGGATTTTGACTTGAAAACAATTCCTTCTTGTAGCCCCGATAACTGATTTCCACTGAAATCAGCAACTTGAAGCATGGGTATTGAGCCTATGCTTTTTGGTAATTTTCCAGAAAAAGCGTTGTTCGCCAAGTTTAAATGCCATAAGTTTGTCATGTTACCCATTGTTGAAGGAATGCTTCCACTGAAATGATTGCCAGGCAAAAGACACTCAATCATAGCAGGAAAGTAAAGTCCAAAATCATCTGGTAAAGTCCCGTTTAGCCCGGCAAGAGACAGGTGCATATAACGTAGAGATGACAGATTATAAAGGTTTTCAAATCCTCCACTTAGAAATGACACACTTTCAAGATCCAAAAACCAAAGCTTCTTCAATTTGGCAATGCTCTTCGGAATCATGCCATTCAATGTGTTTTCTCCGATACTGAGAACTTGCAGCTCACTCAAGTTCCCAATGTCCCTTGGAATTGTACTTGAGAGACCCTTTCCCAATTGGCAGCAGAGTTGAACTTTTACCAAAGATTCCATCTTTGGTAAGATTTCAGCGGGAATCTCACCAGACAACTTATTAAAAGCAAGATCAAGACGAAGCAAGGTGGTCATGTTGGTAGACAAAATTTCAAAAAGGTTGCCAAAGAGCTTGTTGTTGTTACCTACACACAAACCCTGCAAATTACGAAGTTTCCACAAACTTCTTGGAAGAGCCCCAACCAAATTGTTTGTGGTCAAAGTGATACTGATAATGTAGCTATTGGTTTGATCACATGTGATTCCATACCAAAAGCAGTGTGGTACAGAGTTGTTCCCCCAGTGAGTACTTTTTCTCCAATTGTGACCATCTGTTTGGTCGAATATTTCCATGAGTACAGCTCTTTCTTGTTGGGGCGTGAAGGTTGTTTCCAAAGTACTATTTGGAATCGGGATATCGTGCAAGCATCCATAGGCAAAGGTATCATCGTAATTCAGAGGAGTCAGTTTCTCTGTTTTCAAAACTAACAGTGAAACAAGAAAGAGAAGCAGACAAATATAAGTGATTTCAGGTCAAAGTTCGCAAGGATTCTGCCTTTCTATAACCTCAAGGGTTTTTCATGATGTGAATTATTGTGTCACGTTTTTCTTATTTGAAATTCATAATTGATTATATAACTCGTAAATCAAGATTCCTGGGTTTGATCAAGAAAATTCATGACTACTTCTAATTTAATCAATGTAATTTATGATCCATGATTTCACTTCAACTGATCATAATCAAATCATGAAAAGCTTAGGAACATTTGAAAGGGAAAGAAGGATGATCTGAAAGTACAACGTGCATTGGTTACCTACTGCCTTCAAAAGTAACCTGAACAATAAGATTCAAGTAATACAATTACATCAGTTTTATGATGATCTTCTGCCAAACAAATATCGTCACACAGTTCAAGATTTTGAACCAAAGCGCCGATGAAATATTAAGGAGTGTGACTTCCGCCTTAAGAAATCGCCTACGTCTGTTGCGCCAGACAAAAATCCAGCCCCACACCCCGCTATTCTAGTCCCAGAGAATAATTAGTAAAAAATAAACCTTTGGTTTTCTCATCATTAGTAGTAAACGAAAAAGTGTGTATCAAGTGTGGTAAAACACTTTTATGAGTCGACTAAGCTTACTGTCTCGCTCTTACCTCCGATGTCTCGTTTGTTCCGTCTTGTTCTGTAGTAGAGTGACCTTGATCCATACTTTGATAGCTTTTCTCCGAACGTAAGAGATCGGCAATGTTCGAAGCAAGCAAGGAGCGCCACAATCCTTAACAATACGGCTAGAAAGGAGTATTTTGATGAAAGCGTTTGGGCCATAATTCTCCTTCTCCTGAAAGAAACTGAAATGAGGCTGGTGTTTGGGAGGTTTACGCGACCGAAGGACAATGCGATCAGCGGTTTCAGCGGTTAATTTGAAAACAAGCAAAATGGCGGAAGGGCTTCCTTATGTCGATCAAAGGGAAAACGAAAGTACGGAGAACAGGAAAGCTCCCATCTATGATCATCCAGTGTTCAGGGAAATATCACTGTCCAATGGAAAAATAAATAAGATGAAGAAGGATGAAGTCAAGAAGATACTTAAAGAGCGTGGGCTGGACACACGGTGAGTGAAATATCATCAGCTAAAAGTAAATAAACTCAGTTAAATTAAGGTGATGTTCCAAGCCTTGCCTGAGAATGGAGGGGGGAGGGGGGGGGGGTGTTTGGAAGGGTTAAAAAGGCATTGAAACTTCGTTAAAGCTCTGCCTTGACAAATTGCTCAAAATTCAGAGACTAATATCTCGGCAGAGAGAGATGATTTACTTTTTCACACACTGCATGTATAATGAAATTCTCGATCGAAAATGTATCGAAGATAAATATCCTTCCTTTAGAGTAAGACCTGCAATCATGAGCTTTTACATGTGGATGCTCTAAGCTGATTCCTTCATCACCCAAGAAGATCCTTAATTACATTTTTTTAATCTAACAATTCATTTGCTTTGCAGAGGAGTAAAGGAGGTTCTCCAAAAGCGTCTAAAAAATCACATCAAAAAAGAGAAACTAGCTCAAGCTAAGCTGGAACAAAAAAAGATAATGAACGAGGTTCATTTCTACTGTGTCATAGATTTTGAAGGAACTTGCGAAGAGAATAATCCAGACAACTACATCCATGAGATAATCGAGTTCCCTGCAGTGCTTCTTGATGCAGTTACACTAGAAAAGGTTTGTAAGCTTTGAGAGAACATTTATTTGCTAACTCTCCTTGATTTAAGGAGGTGTTACAACTATATTGTTCACTATTTTAACCCCTTAATTCCCACATCAAATTTGTCATTCTCCTTACTTTAATAACCATACAATTCTTATAATGTTAGTTCAGAGAATTTAGTATTGTATCAATTAATTATCCCCAAATTGATGTTTTTTCTTTATTCTCATCACTTATCTGGTTGATATTGTATTGATATTGTAAGGAGAAATTCTGTCTTGGTCACTCATGGGAGTTAAAGGATTAAAGTAACATATATAATAATTGAAAAGTAATGTTTCCAATTTGTCTAGATTATAACATGATTTTGAGTGCAATTTGGTGATGATAAGCTCAAGTAAATTTTTCAAAGACTAAAAAATGTTGAAGCTCCTAAGTGAAGTGCACTTTATACCCTAAATGAAAAACTTACAAATGCTTATTACATCTTATCAATAAAGGGCAAAATTACTGAGCGCTGATTGGTTGAGAGAGAGGGCATTTTTTCTTAATCAAGGGCATTTTTAGTAATCAAGAGAGGGCATGATTACCTGTTAATGATTGGCTAATCTGTTGCATTGCTAATCCGTTGCTTCCCAGATAAAAATAGACTGCGTGCGTGATTTTCCTTCGTATAAATTTTGCCCTTTATTGATAAACAAGTAATCCCATGAGACCTCGTACTATTAAGGATTAATTGCACTTGAGTTTTCAAAATTTTGGAAAATTTTGAAAACTCTCGTGCAATTAATCCTTAATAGTACTTGGCCTCATGTGATTACCTATACAAATTGCAAGAGAAATCATGTTATCACTTGTGTTAATAATTTACATGAAAAAACATCACAGAAAAGCAAGACAGAGAAAATTTTGAAAGTGTGTGCATTATTTGTAATTCGCTCTTGTTTTACAAGGCTGAAAATCAACTGAATCCTTGTTAGAATGGTTCAAATAATCTGATTGGCTGTATAAGATTAAAGCTATCAAAAATGTCAAACCATCAAAGTTCAAAAACCATCAAAGTTCACATTCTGCAATAGTTTACAAACTTAAATAGTTTGGCAGGTTGAATCTAACACTTTTGCTTGAAGTTTTTTAGTCTCTACGTGAAATTCACATAACAAGTAGAGAACAAGCCATTCAATGTGATTGTGTTACGAATTAACAACAACCAAATTCTCCAGAACATAAAGATCACTCAATATTCAAGTCATGTGAACCCTTCTGATGTTAACTCACCCAAATTTGATTTTTTAGGCTTATGACTGATTAGTGTTTTAACTAACCCTCACAACTGATATCTGAAATAGCACTTTAATATGCTATGTTAGCTATTGTTTGTATTCAGGACTGATCATACACCAATATTTCACATATTTCTTCAGGTGTCTGAATTTCATGAGTACTGCAAACCACAAGATAAACCAGAACTATCACAGTTCTGCCAGAACCTAACAGGAGTTACCCAGGTAATAAAAGTTGAAATATGAACAACATTATTGTGCATGACTTTTGTCCATCAGTTATGGCTGGAATCTCTGTCACTGGAGTCTTTGTAAACAGTCATGTGCTTTTATCTGTGCTCATATTACAGTAAATGGTTTTAACTCGGAGGTAACATGTAACAGTGTGTGGTGAGTGATATGAACATCAGTGACACACACGGCTGCACCTTGTGAGCCACTTTTTGGTTCATACCACATTTTCACATCATTTATGATCTACTTGTAATACTAAACAGAGGCACGGCAACATGGAATCTGCTTCTTAAATGGTTCATAAAGTATTTTGAGTCTAATATGAGTTTATAATTAGCAAAATATACTCTATACTACTAAAAACTGTTTTCCAAAGCATGTGATATTGACAAATTTGTTTTTAGATTTGATAAAATATTAAACATTGAGAATTGTCCTAGGAATAAAAATCTTGTATGTATTGTCGAGAGTCCATTGCATTGATCAGCAGTTTATATCATCTCCTTGCTGATGGCGTGGGTTATATTCAATGTATGCCTAAATAATTTTACTTATTTTGCTGGGTAGGAAATTGTGGATAATGCTGATACATTCTCAGGAGTCCTTGACAACTTTCATCAATGGCTTAGAGATCATAAACTTGGATCAGAATATAAATTTGCTGTTGTTACTGATGGGTGAGTTTGCTTCTCATACACATTTCTTGCACTTCCTTTACTGAGTTTCCAATAACTGAATCATTATCCCAGAGACAGGTACTCATACATACTATAGGGCAGAGAGAGACACCGTGAACGTGTCTCGCCCAGGCAGATATAGAGTTGTAAATTTGCAGGGCTTGCAGATGTTGGGCTTATCAGTGAAGGGATGAGTCGATGAGCGCTAACATTTGTGTCGTTAATATTATTCTACAGCTTCAATGAATGCCAAGCACAGTATGAAATGCACTTCTTTGGTTGCAAAACCTACCATATTTAAAACGAAGACGATAAACGCTTTCAAATGCTTCCTTTAATTACATAAGAATATTTTGTACTGTAAAGATGCATCGCTCAGGCGACCAACGACCCCACAGTTTTTAGCTCAAGGGAAGGGTGGGCTAAAGAGATGGTCCCAAAGAGAGAGGGCCTATTCGAGAGGGGGGCTTAGAGAAGGGAAGGACTTCTGGGGAAGGGGCGTTTCCAGAGCTTCCATGATAATTCCTTTTTATTTTTTTTCCAATGTAGCCCTTATGATATGAAGCGTTTCTTCTCGGGGCAGTGCCAACTCTGTTCCATTCCCATACCCAAGTACGCCAGAAAGTGGATTAATCTGAGAAAATTGTACAGAAACTTTTACAAAGTACTAAATGGGACTCTTGAAGACATGGTCAATAATCTTGGTATGAAATTTGAAGGGCGGCCGCACTGTGGGATGGACGATGCGCGAAACATCGCAAGAATCTTACGAAAGATGGTCCAAGATGGCTGCGAAATAAAATTTAACGAAAGTCTGTATGGTAACTCCTGACTTTTGTCAAAGTCGGGACACTGCGATCAGTTGAAAAAGCCGTGAAAAAGAAGCCCATCTCCTAGCATAGAAAGTGTGATTTTAAAACTTATAAACGAATTGAAAAGAACCTCATAAATACGGTTTTCCGTGTTCGTAAAGGAAATCATTAGAAACAGACAATGATTATTTCAGGAACAGAGTGAATGATGCGCGCTTCCTTACTGGCTTAAATAAGCTTGTCATTATTTTAGGAAGGGTGGGGTTCGTGTTATTTTGATTTTTCTTTTTTTCGATTCATCTGTAATAAAAGCCTTTCGACCAATCAGAACAAAAGTAAAAGTATCTCAGATACAGTACAGGGTGTCGTTGAATGCTTCAACGACTTGCACACATGAGCACATTTTGATTGACTGTCTCGAAGCTAACACTGAAGTTGTAACAACTTCAAATCAAATCAAGGAAGAATATCGCAAGGAGTCGACGAGAACTTAAAGTTACAGAAAGCCAACTAGTTCAAGCGCGGGAAAATGTGAATTACTGAGTCGAGGTTGGTTTTAGATTTTTAATTTGATTGCTCGAGAGGATGGCGCTAGTCTTGTGAACTAATCACAGAGAAAACTGAAACAAAACCCAAGCAATTCCGGATCACTTTCGACGCTAAATTTAAAATTAATCTTAAGTACATAATGGTATGTCTGCAACTTTACTCTGATAAACAGGCTGAATATTATTGTTAAGTGTCCCGCCGATCTCTTGCAATGGGAGTCAAAAGAGTTAGACCGAAGTTCCAAACACTGATACTAAACTGGCCATCTTCAAGTTGATCTGCGTTCTTCCTTTTTTCGTTCAAGCGGAAGCTGTGAACCCCACGTGCATGCGTAGGCACAGACCTCGTCTGGATCGTTATCGATTTCTCAGAAGTTCATTGGTACTATTGCGCGTTATCTGAAAGCCTGGCGTTTAATTTGTGGTGACGGACTCCGGTGTTTCCTTTGCGCTGCGCGCGTGGCAAAACAAATAACAATACTGTTTAATGTTTGTTTTTTGTTCGTTTGTTTTTAATATTATTTCTGGGTAGTCAGAGAAGTTGTTTTAGCTTTTTTTGCACGTTTCAAGTTACTCTGCACTCGAATTATATTTTAGTTTCGCTGAAACACAACCAGATATACGTCTTCAGGGAAATCCGACTTGTAATTAGATGTAGCCAGTATCGACGGAGATCGTTAGATGCGACAGTGATGCTCAACCCTTGGCTCAAGCCCCGTTTTCGTTGGGCTGTCATAACTTCATTCATTGTTATCAATTTATATGTTTACTGTAAAGGATACAAACCTCTGCAACCAAATGAATTTGATGGGGCAAAGTATATTTTTAATCGAGGTGACTCGTTTGGAGGAGAGGATAGCGACAGTAAAGGTGAGTTTGCTTGTTTGGTTTACATCAGTTGTGCTGTATTATTTTTGAATCATTGCCTTCAACCGCCTTGCTGGAATATACAGTTACACTAGATTCATTCTAGCCAAAACGGTTGGGTGCCTGCCTGAGTATTCTTTGTACGAAACCGAAAACCGCAGAGAAGCTGAATTCAATCACAGTTCATAACCTTACTGTATCTTAAGGCTAAAAAATATCGACATCATTTGATTTACCTTCGTTTCTTTTGCTCTTGAAAATTTCTAGGTGAAATAACTGCTGAAAGATTGTCCTTCATGCGGAATATAAAATTTTTTCGCTTTATTAATTATTTTTTATCGGTTTCCGACAGTAGAAGCGGAAAGATCATGATTTTGAGAGCACATTAGCGGACAGTTTTGATAAGCACATCTTAACTCTTCACAATTATAACGAATAGTTATACTTCTTGACAGTTGAGTATTTCGTTGCTTTTTGATATGATCTCATCGCTCGATATGTTCCATTAGACGAATGCTTGGTTTCTGACCCACAAATACATTTACAATTAAAAAAAAAACATTTGATAAAGTTTATACACGATCTGACAGAGAGGCTTTCACTTTTTAAGTAGTTTGCTTTTCAGATGGCCGCAGGTTTTTCAGTTATTTTAGAGACCGTTACGCATTTTCCTCTTGAAAATAAACATATATTATACTTACCTTATTATTCTCCCTGAAAAACTGGCGTCTTAGAATTCCAAGGTGAACATTCGCCTACTACACAAACTGTTGCGTGTGCCTATTGACGTTTACTAGAATTTGATGGAAATTGCAGTAGTCTGTTCCAAGACAAACCGCTTCATTTGACATCCTTAAAGTTGGTCACAAACCAAAACCCCTCAATATCTCCTTTCCTTTGTTTTCAGTTGTGCCAGAAAAACATAGACCGACGCTTTTCGATAAGGCTTTTGCCTACAGATGTTCAAGTGAGATTTCAATGCTCAATGCCACATTAGACAGATCATTTTCACCCAAGCAAGAACGAAATGTGCTTATGGAGGTTTTCAATCAAACAGCTGGTCATAATTGGAGGAACAACACTCATTGGGGAAATGACTCTGTACCACACTGTTCTTGGCATGGAATAGAATGCCATAACACCAATAGCTCTGTCATAGGTATTACTTTGATAAACAACAACTTGGTTGGAACCCTTCCGAGAAGCCTATGGAAGCTTCGCAATTTACAGATTTTGTGCATTGGCACTAATCCTAACTTATCAGGTAGTCTCGATGAAATTTTGTCTTCCAACATGACTACTTTACACACTCTTTACCTTGCCTTTAACAAGTTATCTGGTGGGATTCCTGGTGAAACTTTAGCAAAGATGAAGTCACTGAAAATAATCCAGCTTTGCTGTCAGTTGAGAAAGGGTTTTTATGGTGAAATTCCAAAAGACATTGGAAACTTAACGCAATTGCAAGTTCTCGGTTTCGGAGGAAGCAGATTGAAAGGTTCAATACCGAAGAGTATTTCGAAATTGAAAAAACTTTGGTTTTTGGATCTTAAAAGTGCAACATCCCTAAGTGGAGGCTTTGCAAACCTTGTCAATCTCTCATCTTTACAATACTTGCACCTGTCAATGGCTGGATTAAATGGAACTTTGCCTGACGAATTTGGACTGTATTATCCTGCCATGGTTGAGTGTATCCTGTCAGGAAACCGTTTTACTGGAAGCATTCCGGCAACTCTGGGTAATATGACCCACCTTCAATATTTAAATTTGGCTAGAAACAGTTTTTCTGGAAAAATACCGGAAAGTATCGGCTCAGTTTCCTCTCCTCATATTATTGACTTAAGTGGAAATAATCTATCATCGTTTGAGGACGGGATCAAGTTTAATGATCTAGAGGTACTCCTCCTTGCTGGTAATAAGAATCTCACACACAGTTTTGATTCCTTGCTGGATGCAATGGAATCGACAAGAAAATCTCTTCGTATTCTTAACATTAGTGAGTGTAATTTTTATGGTATTATTACATCTAAATTATGGAAATTTGAGAATTTGATTTCTGTGGATTTAAGGAAGAACAATCTAACAGGAACGCTTCCGTGGGCTTTTCAAATCTTGTATTTCCTTCACGATCTTGATATATCCACGAATAAACTTTCCGGGCAAATCCCTGGAAATTATGCAGACTTACCCTCCTTGAAAGTCCTAGACGTTTCAAAGAATCCTTCAATGCGTATGAACGAAGAACATGAAATCCTACCAAAGTATATGACAGCTGATTTTGCATCTTTAATCCTTTTTGACAAGTTCAAATGTCCAAATGCCCGTCTTAACAACAACACACGGGTGATTTTAGACCCCAGCTATTATTTTTACCGTCTTTGTTTCTGCGATAGAGGATATTATGGCTTCGGGAAAACCTGTCTGCCCTGCATGGAAGGTGGAACTTGTAATGTTGAGAAACGTCCTTCCCAGGATATGACAATCAAAAAAGGCTATTGGCCTTCATCACGTGATCAGAACGTGACTCATCTCGTTGACTGTTCACAAGCTTTAGGCACCAATCCTCAAGTGAGTACACCCTGCAATCCATTAGGCACTTGTCGCTGCTGGATTGACACAGACCAAAGTCCCTCCACCGTTTGCAACAAATCGTGCTTCTGCCGCACAGGGAGTAAAGGTCGCTTTTGTTCACTTTGCGAACATGGTTATTACAAACAAGGAATCATTTGCTACGCTTGTCCCCAAGCGAATACCAGTGTTTACATTCCGGCTGCACTTGCTATCCTGACTATCATTTTGATGACTCTTGCCTTCTACCTTTACGAGAAAAAGCGCTTTTTCTCCACAGTTTTAGTTTTTACTCAAATAATTGTCTTAGCATTACTAGCCATTTTTCACATAATTCCTGCATGGCTACTTGAACTCAATGCAATAGCCCTCTTTATAGGTTTAGCCGAAAGAGGTAAGGCTGCGCGAGGAATTCTGAAGATCAGTGTGTATTATTTGCAAACCCTGGACGCTTTGATCTCCTGTAACAACTTCTGGCCTCCTCAAGTTCTTAAAATTCAGCGATACATCAGCTATGTGTTTAACTTTCATTTCTCTGGCCTGGTTTGTACGTTTCCTCACTTGTTCACTCCACTTGGTGAATTTGCAATTCTAATTCTACTTCCTGTTATTTGCATTCTGTGCATTTGGTTGTACTTTGCTCTTGTTTGCCTCGTTGGTGGTGTTCTTAACGTTTACAATTTGCAAGAAAGACGACTTCGACTGCGAAATACCTGTTTACAACTTTCCATTGTGTCTCTCAATTTCACATATTTTCCCATTGTAAAGAAAACGGCTTCAGTCTTGGCTCCGTGCGCAAAGGACAACAATTATTATTACCTGAGGGAGGCACCATGGATAGAGTGTGGAGGTCCTGTCCACACCATGCTTCAGGTCCTTGGCTGGCTTTCGTTAGTTTTTTATGTGATCGGTGTGCCTTTTGGAGTGTTCCTTCCTCTTCTGCGACACAACAAGGTGGGCAGCAGACATGAGCTGCCTCAGCAAGACCAAGAAAGTTTGGACAGTTGGCTCGGTTCTATCTACTTGCCATACAAGAAAGATTTTCGTTCCTCATTTGAGATTATCTTTCTTCTAAGGCGGATGCTGATCGCTTTCGCGTTGTCCCTCATCACTCGTTCATCGTCCTTTCAGACGATAGCTGTTTGCTTTGTTTTGCTGGTTGCCCTTTGCTTTCAGTTGCTCTTCAAACCATATATTGATTCTTACCAAGCGTTCCCGTTGGAAAATACAGCAGAGGCTTTGGTTCTTTTGACCCTTCATTTCTCTTTCATGAACGTAAGGTACGCAGCCCAGAACCCTGACTCATCCACACCCATCGTTTGGATGGTTGTAGTGGTGAACGTGGTTCTTTTCTGTGGCATAGTGATATCAATTATTGTTCTTCTTGGCCGGCGATCGCATGTAGTGAGAAGTTCTACCATGGAGGTCCACTTAAGGGCGGTTGATGAAGATGACTCCGCACTTCCTCCACCCGAATTCTCTTCATCGTGTCTTCTTGATGATGGAACTTATAATGACTGAACAACTTGGTTAATCCTTTAACTCCCAAGATCTGATTGCTATTTCTCCCCTCTAGTTACTAAACATTTCCTTGTAAATTAATCACGAGAATTTGGTGTTAGATCAGGATAACAATATCAACCTGATAAGTTTGAATGTTCCCGTCATTTGTTTGCTGGATAATGCAAGGATTTTATTGATCGCATGGGAGAAGTTACATGTTAATCACTTCTCGGAGTTAAAGGGTTAAGAGACTGGTGATTTTCCCAAGATCATTCAGATATTAAGCACATTTGAATGCTGAAAAGCAAAATATTTTAATCCATTCACATAGAGACTCTGAGTGACGCGGAAATGGCTAATACATGTCTAGTTGATGTATCTATATAAGAGGGAGATCATCGATCTATTGATAAGTTCAACGCTAAAACTCTTTAACGATAAACGAATTGTTTTTAGAGACTTGTAAAGATAACCGCACATGGGACGTTGGTTGCCCTATAATGAATCAGACTCTAAGTATCAAAACTAACAGCAGAAATAGTTGTATTATGTTTAAGGAAGCTATGGGTATGGAATGAGCCATGCATACGAGTAAGCAGAGTACGAGAGAAGTTAGTATCGTTTTCGAAAAGGTAGCAGCAACAACTTATAAACTTTGCAGAGGTAATCCTTCATTGGAACTTTTACCAACAAAAAATCTTACGATGAATAAGCAAATATCTCCAACTGTTTAAACATTCGCACATCCTACCGAATAGAACTTTGTGCAAATACAGCATACCTTATTCAAAGTGCAATCTTCACACGTCAAGTTTTTGTTAGGTGTAATTGCTTACAGTTGTAACTGTTCAGTGTAAGAAAAAAAGTTTTCAACCGCAGGATTTTTGAAATATCGAATGATACAGGCGGCGACCAACTGTAAATGGAGCTTGCGAATGATAAAACGAGAGTCTTACTTAGAATTTCATTGCGATCTATAAAACAAAGAAATTTTCATTACACATTAAAAAGTCTCTTGTATTATGAATTAAATGGCACTGAAAATAATTAACTTAACTCGATGTTTGCTTGACGTTCCACAGACTTCAATCAGTAGTAGGATAGTTTTTAAAAATTTTTCAATGATCAAATTGGTCACAAATCAGTGTTTAGTGCCGGCCTAAGAGTTCGCTGCAAGGCCCTTAGCCCAAAACCCCATCGGATAGAACCACAAATGTTAAAATAGTTTTTCTTTTTGTTTTATCATTAGTCACAGCGTTACAAAAAGCCACTTGTAATATCATCGACTTTATTTACATACAGCGACACTTCACTGTATTTCAACTGATAAGCGAGTGGTCCTCTATCCTCAAAGCTAAAATACACTTAATATAGCGGATACAATTTGAAACGATTACAAGGATTAAAAAAAAAACGTTAAAATGATAGCTAGGCTGTAAAATTAATACATTATGAAACAATAACTAGGACGAGAATTGAATGTTGGATTTGGCTTTAAATTTTTAACCTTTGGAAATTATTTGCTCCATCGTTAGAAGGCCGTTGTACATTTAAACGCTGTATCAGCCTATTTTATCTTATCTCCTTCTGAACTACACTTACGAGGCATATTTTCTCAAAAATATATGGTTGACAGTGTCTCTCTGCGAATGGTAAAACTTCTATTTGAATTCAATAATCACGAGAATTTTTTTTCATGAAAGGACCCTGCACAAGTGTCAATAATCGCGGTTGGAATGAAAAGTGTTTGCAGAGTGAAACTCTAACGCATTTTCTGACCTTTTGGCACTGTCGTTCTTGACACGCTCAATCAAATCGAAGTAAATCCCACCCACATAATTTTTATATTGTTATACCTTTTCTCCTGGTGTTTGCCCAGCGGGCAGATGTATTTTAGGAATGATATCCTTACAAACTTGCTTTGAGTAACTATCACTTACAAAAAGGCACGTAATTAACACTGTTTTTAAACTAGTTCACCATATTGTGTTACAATAAAGGTTGTTTTTTTATAGTTTATTTAGGCGTTTAATATTTGTGTACACTAAACCCAGGAATTGTCAGTTTACTCCCTCTGATTGGTTGATCAAGCTCAGGATACATTGCACCGTTTCTTTTAGCTCGTCTTTGAAAATAATTCTTTTCATTCTCGCCTAGCAATTATCATAATTGTTTCGCTACAAATTAACCATTTTGTAATCTCAGTGTCCCTCAACAGCCCAAAAAAATTACACACGCCCTTTTGTAGTTCGGTTGACAACTAACAGCAGATTACAAAATAAGATTGATAGCACTTCTCCCCTCGGAATTTGTTCAGTGTGGTTGTATTTGATCAAGCAATGGTATAAAAGCTCCTGCAAGAGAAGCAATGAAGAGAACAGGGGTGATTCATGCTCTTGTGTGTGTGTGGTACATAATTTGTCGTCATAAACTTGAACTTCTAAAAGTAGCTGAGGACGTTCTCATTAACAAAGAACGGGATGTTGCAGGTAGCGTTACTTTCTATACAGCTTTCAGTTTAAGCCTGCTGTGAGGTTCAATTTTGCACCGCTTCTCAACAGTATAAAATTTTGAATATTTATCTTCGACTTGAAATAGTTAAAACAGAGGCAATTTTCTACCTTGCCTCTAAACGTTTTGTCGAGTTTGCTCGTAAGTTCCCAGTCGTTTCTTCTCTTTTTCAACGGAACAGAACACGCGAATCATTTTGGTGTGTGGTTTCATCTTGGCAACACTCGTGGAGCCTTCGTCGTCGGACATGTACCTGCATTTTCCACACGGATCGAACAATCGCTTGAACGGAAATCAAGACAATGTAAGGAACGCAAACCGATTGTTTGACTCACAGGTAAGACCCTAATGATTCAATCTCTTTGCGCTTATGTATTCGTATACTATTCGTTGGCTTTTCCTCTTCAAGAACCAAGTAGATTCTATTTAAGCCCATGATTGTTTTTTAATATTATAGTGATATGGAAACTTGCATGCTCAAATGGTCAACGCCGTATTTCATACCAAGCGAACGAACAACGAAAACGTTTTCTATGTCTCCTCCCGTTCTTGGAGATTACCTTCCTATCAAGATGCTGCATTGTACGTAGTTATGTAAGCTTCGGTCGCATGAACCAGAAGCTTAATTTAACAAAATATAATACCTAGAAAATGACTTTTTCAGAATAACGGTAAGGCTGGTTACAATGTTGGGGACAAACTTGCTAGTAACCCTGGAGACAACATTCAAGAGTTTAGACAGCTGCCACAGGTAATTAGTAATAAGATATCTACTCCTGTATTTGCGCAATTCGAGGGGCAGGGCTGTGGTAAGTTTCTTTAACAGTATTTCTAATCCTCTCATGTAGGTTCGTAGCAGCGTTTGAGGGTTTTCCAATTTCACCCTCATTTTCTCTAGCTACTATATATTATCAGTTTTGTTGATGAAGCAGGGTTATATATTTCCTTCGGACACCTTCAGCTGCGCCCCATCAAGAAAGGGGAAAGATACCTTTTCATCTCGACTATGCAGTATAAGAACGAATTATGCTTACGGGCTCAATTTGTTTTGGGAAGATGATATATAGAGAAAGAACAAAACAAACGAATCAAAATGAGTAAGGTTGTGTTCCTATTGGACCTCTTGCGAGTTTGAGAACAATATCTCGTGGTTTTCTGTTCCCAATTTAGTTCCTTGTTTTACCATTTACGGAAACAGCGACTTAGAATTATTAAACAATACTCAAAATTCTCTTTTGTTTTGGACATGATAAACGAATAGTTCCCACGTGGGGAGATCTCTGCTCTATGAAATTGCATTTCTTCATGTTGTGTTTATTTGTTTGCTCAATTTTATCTTTAACAATTTAACAGGAGTTTTACATGAGCGGATGTGACGCCAAGGCCAAAACTGAAGTAGAAATCATGTGGACAAATCAGCATGGGACTGGGCCCAAGACTGGCGACATAGTGGAATCACAAGCTATTTTACAGTACATGTGTCAGCCTTATCCCGAGGGAAAGATGGCAACCAACGATGTGAACAGAGAGTTTAAATACCATACGATTCGTAACGGCCAAAACCTGGCTACTCAGTCATTTTCAAATAATAATAGAGAGAACGCTTACATAAGAAAAGACCGCGGCTTGCACGAACCAGCCAATTACTACCAGGCTTACTTCCGTCGAGAGAGAAACAAAGGTGAGCAGGAGAAATGCGAGAATTGAACGTATTTGGTTCGTTCTATCTTGATCCTAAAAAGTAAATGAGTGAAGTTTTATATGGATTTCTCTCATGAAATTCTTCATGTCTAAAACTCTGAAGTTGCATATGGTGTTTCAACTGGCAACGAAAATCCACATTGTTTGACTGTTTCTTTCTTTTCGAAGTCGGTCCAGGCGTAGTTTTGATTTCTTGCAGTAGTTGCCATTTTATTGACTTGCAGCCAAATGTAAAACAGCATTCACAAAACAAATCTATCTTTAAAAAAATGAGATTTCTCAAGATCCGAATGTTTTCCTACCCAATCAAACTGCTTTTATAAGGATTTCCTCTGTTTTATGGAAAATAAGTGATGGAGTGAATTAAACGCTACAATTGTAAAATCAAAGAAAAGTAAGGCTGTTTTTTGCTCCTACTGCAGGTTTGTTCACTGCTGACCAACAACTTAAGGGCGTTCTGCCGATTTACACGAGGCAAAACCCTCAAGGAACAAGAAGGGGTTTGGAGGTCCCCGAAGAACGCGATTATTTTCCCTACTGGGGTCCCAGCCCTTGGAAGGACATTGCTATCATGGTCAGCGATGAAAAGACCGAGGAGCTCATGAAAAAATACGTGAACAGTCCTGAATATGGACAAAAATGTAAGTATACTATCTGATTACTGCTCTAATTGAGACGACAGCATCTCTAAGAAACTTAGGCTGTTCTCTCGGCTCTCTTTAGACTCCTCCAGAAAAGTAAGAAGGTGAGCTAATTTCACCAACCAAACTATCTCGAGTTTTGCACTGAATTTTTAATTCATCGAT